ATAGATAGATAGATAGATAGATAGATAGATAGATAGATAGATAGATATATTAAACATACGAATCCACAACTTCCAGTTCTAAGTTATTATCATTTGTTCTCATGATAATAACTTAGAACTGGAAGTTGTGGATTCGTATGTTTAATCGGATTTCATTACTTTTCTATTACTTTGTTTTTTCCAATTTAAATAAGTTATTTGTTGCTGCAAAATTCCAAATAATGGATATATGCCACTTAAATAAGCATAAGTTACGTTTTATATCATATGTCTTGAGAATATTTCTGTATATCTAACTCAGTAAATAAGCAGCTTGAAATTCTGTAGCATACAAATCTTCATTGCTGTGGCAGCAGCAATAGCCAAGTCAACAACTAAATGACATATTCTCTGCATCATGAGATAGGACAAAAGATAAAGTTAAGATGGAATCCTAAAGAGAATATATTTTTCATGTTGAAAGTCTAAACAAATGTTATTATTGATGGAATCTTCTAAATTGCCAAAAGGCAATACTGAAAATTAATTTGAACAAACAGAAGAAAATCTGATAAAGACTTATATGTATACATACATGATATTTCTTAACATTGTAACAGATTAAGAAAAGATGGCATGCTTACCTGAGATTTTCTGCTTTGAATAAAGCAGTGAATTTTTTGCCATTGTTTTTGGATAATAGTTTGAACTTTTTATAGCGATGCAGTTCCTATTTTATTTCATCATCACCTAGACTGAGTTTGTTATGTATTTACAAAGCAGTTTTGTGTGTTCTGTTTGCATCTTCTGTTAACCACATTTCAGACTGGAGGCATTGTAACTGTCCACTAGAGTCCTAAAAATTTACATTATAAGTGGTGTTGAATCTTCAAGTGATACAATAATGTCTTTATAGTACTAATAATAGCTAATGCAGGTTTTATAGTCATGTGAAAAAATAAGTACACTTTACTGAAGCTTGATTTTTAACACATTTCAACATACAAATATTTGGTCTTCACTTCAATAATATTGATAGAGAATAGGATATAACAAATATCACATACTATTTATATTTTGTAGTCCATTTTGTAATTTAAATATACATAAATGCAAATTTCACATGTGGAAAAAGTAAATATAACTCACTTTTATCATTACTTCAAATAAAATTAAATTCTGGCACACCAGAACTGCAGTGAGTCACTTAACAAATGTGGCAAGAAAAGTTGTAAAATGGGACAAAACTCGCATAACAACTGTTGTGCTTAGCAATGGAAATTTTGGGCTCAATTGTGCTCAATCGGCTAAAATTGGGATTGGAGGAGATCAGGAATGGGCCTGAGAGGTTTTTTTAAACTTTGAAACTCTCACCCTGAATATTTCTTCCTTAAATTGAGCCCTAGGAAGTCATCACTCATTTGATATATTGTACTTGTGGAACCATCAAGGATAATTCATATGTCAAGATAGCATACTCATGCTGGAAATTAATGATGTTACCTCCAGAGTATGAAGCATTGATTTTCATGCAGTTAGAAAGTTTAAGCATTAGCCAGTACTTGGGAGTAATACCATCTCCCAAATGGTTGATATTCTGTCATTATTTAATACATTACTCATAATAAAGGTAGCTTACCGTTGTTTTAAGGCTAACGTGAAATAACTTAGATAATTCAGAACCAGTTTGCAAGTGTAGATCATCTTATTTACCTCTCTTCAAGTTCCTACGGAATATCAGATTTTAGAGAGAATAGGCTACTTTTACAGATCTTACTATTTACTTCTAAATTTGAAGAGTTTTAGAAAGTGGGATTCAGTTGTAACAACTTTTCAGAATTGCCTTCAGCTCATCAAAAAGAATATTATAGTAATATCTTTTCTTCTTCTGATCTTGTTACTTTGACTTCTTTCAATCTTTATCTTTATTGTACTTTATTAGTACAATATGCTAAAATGAAAATGTCTGTGATGTAAAGGTCAATTAACACAAAATCAGTAACTCTAACAGCTTCACATTTTTCAGCTGAGATGTATTTATCATAGAAGTCTCAGATCAATTAAACTAGAAACAGATAGATCTGTCCTTTGACTGAATTCATAAACACACCTTCAGGCAAATGAGTTTAGGGGTAGAATAGATTCCCTTTCCCTTTGCAGTCTTATGAAAACCCTTCTGCTTCAAAAGTTGGAGGATATGTACAGGACTGCCAAAAAGAGAAAAAGGAAGTCCCATACTTTAAGTAGAAACTGAAAACATTTGATTTTCAGAATATTGATGTAAGTGAAGCCAGAGCACTTAATATATTCTGTTATTAGATTATTAGATTGTCTACAATTCTCACAGGAAAGGCTGGGGTAAAAATTAGAATTAAATTATGCTTACCCTCATAAGTTAAGTCAATATTGCAGTCCACTATGTTTTTGCCATTGTTCTGTAGCCAGTTATATATAGTTGTATTTCAGATAATTCAAATTCAAATAATTCAGATCTTATCATCTTATTTCAGATCACATCCATCCAGTTTAACATACTACTTAGCGGAAATATTGTCATTTTGTTCCCCTCCATCAAAAATCTTACCTGTGTGACTATATAAAATGGCTTCTCTACATCAGAGGCCCCCAATCCCTGGTCCATAGACTGCCATTGGTCCGTGGCATGCCAAAAAATGGGCCATGCAAACATGCGAAGCCCCATCCATGGGATTCAGGCAGCACACAAAACCATACCCCCCTCTAGTCCACAGAAAAACCTTTCTCCACAGATCCTGGTGCCCAAAAGATTGATGGCAACTGCTCTAAATGAGTTACACTGACATCACCATGTACTCTTTGTACCACTTTGCTGCAGTATATTTTTAAGTCAGAAGCCAACATTGTAATGTGCTATTTTAATGAATTAAAATAAATACAACAGTGGGAAACACCAACAGATATATAGTTGTTCTTTCAACAATGCCAAACACTCTCAGACCAAATAAAAACAACTCTCTATAGTAACCAGCAAGCAGAAACACTCAAACTGTACTTTGGGCATGTGATGTGAACAGATGATGGTGGGTCAGAAATAATGGAAGAACAGAGGAGGGTTGAAGAAGGAGAAGGCAACTAACATATTGGATGAATGCAAATGTATTCTTCTAGTATGCAAATTACATATTCCCTCATTCTTTAAAAAAGAAATATTTTTGTAGTAGTATTAATAGTATCATCCGGGTACTAATATTACATTGATGTACTGCTACTACAATACTTTAAAATTGTAGTTGATGGAATTTCACCCTGACGCTAAATTTATTTACTTAGCAACAAAAGAAATAATGTTCTTGCTTTACAAGTCTACTAGAAAATGTGGTGTATCTTAAGTGATGTAACAGATTTTCTTAATAATTTTTATGGTGAAAATGGAACAAATTATACTTTGGGTAGTTTTCTGTCTTATATAGGATTCTCTCATGCATAAACTTTATTTTCATTTAATGTATTTAATGTAGATTGAAAATATTTTTTAAAAAAACCTTTCTCCCTGTTTTCCTTTTTTTATAGGGTGATATCCATGAAGATTTTTGCAGTGTATGCAGGAAAAGTGGCCAGCTACTTATGTGTGATACATGTTCACGTGTATATCACTTGGACTGTCTAGACCCACCTCTGAAAACAATTCCTAAGGGCATGTGGATTTGCCCCAAATGTCAAGACCAGGTATTGTTCTTTCACACAAAAGAGTAGGCACCAAAGAAGGTTGTCTGTAGCAGATAAAAACAAGTTTTCATTTGATTTACGTAGAGTAAGAGGAACTGGCCTATAATACATAGCTTATCTACAAATCAGTAGGCATTGCTAAATTGAATGAATTTTGCCTCTGTTTTCTACATTATAGGGTATTTTTCTGCCATTGTTATGTCATAACATAAGTACTGTGGTTAGTTCTCAAAGGCAAAGTCAGAAACATTGATCAAATCTGTTTTTTTTACCTATAAATTATCTTTTGCATCATTGTCCAAAAGTGTTTCTCCCCTGCCCACCCAAATTAATATTTTCATTTTTATGTCATAAAATCCATTATTTTCAAGCCAGTAGGAAAACTATATAATCAAACATACCAATAATCTAACAACAAAGATCATTTATGGGAGATGCACATACCAAAATGTCCAATACTTCCCCAAACATTTCTCGATTTTGTTTTGTTTTTCCCGTCTTTCATATGGTATTTGGCTTTGCAGAGAAATAGTTGCAAGCAAATATAAATCCTATTATGGGATAAAGAAGATTAATAAAGAGTGATTGTGATATCCAGATGTGTCTAAACTCCCTTCTCTATTTGCTACTTCAGTTTAAGAAATGCATTGCAATTCATTTATAAATTTTAATAGTGTCTGTGTGCACTAAACATCCAGGCAATATACGCAGGTTAAAATATGTACACAATAGCATAAAACTCAGTAAACATAACAAATAATAGTAGATTTTAAAAATACAAGCAACTATTAAATGAAAAAAATATGTTGTGAGGTAATTCCTTGCTTTATGGCTAGGGAGATGGTTTTCCAAAAGCTGGTATCACAGCAATGAAAGCCACCCTTCCCTGAATGACTGCCAAATTATTTTCCACAGGATGTGATGAGGACAGGGGTCAGATGTAGTGCCCTGACAAAAGGCATTTTTATATATTGTAATGCTACTTACTTTCTGAAAATCCAGTGCATTTGGTATTTGAGCTACTTAAAACGGCAGTTTGTGAGTCAGAAAGTCAGTGTCCTCTTTACTGAAAATGTAAGATCAGATATGTTGCCTTTTCATTCCAGTTTGGTTGTTATATAATTCACAGCAGGAAAGATTTCTAGATTCACTGGAAATTGCTGAGGCTGTGATTTAGCTGGCCTCTTTTGTGGGAGGTAAAATACAAAAGAGTGTTTTATTTAAGGCCTTTTCCAGAAGCCTGTGGAGGAGTTTTTTTGCATGTGGTAAATGAAATGATTACTAGCTTGGGGAGAATGTTGATGTCTTTTTCCACCTAAATGCTTTATTAAGAAATTTAACCAATACTCCCAGTTGCATTTATTTACTTGTTTTTTGGGGAAAAACTATCTTCCTTGGCAGAGCAGTTGTTGAGTCATACAAAGCATGCTTTTCACTATCACGCTTAGGGGTTAATGTTTACTAACACAATTCCTGCCCACCTGTTACTGTTTTGTTACTTTCGGACTGTTTTATAATTCAAAGTATTTAAAATATGTGTCTTTATTTAGGGGCAGTGGCAATAATCTAAGCTTCTTTAACAACTTCATAGCAGCAAGACTATATCTTCTATCCCTTTATTTTCTTCAAAACACAATAATAGATCATTTTAGTACATTTATTTAGTTTGTGAATTGTGCATTCTTTCGCAGAATTTACATCCACTATGCAACCAGATGCTTTTAGTGCTTACAGGTACCCTTGCTCATTTCTTTTCTTTAGTGAACCCTCAACTTCCGGCCATCCCAATCCAACTACTTGTCTTGGGCCTAGAAATAAATCCTATAAGAAATTAAAGTTGTTTAATTTTATACAACAATTCTAAGAAGACAACTATGAATGTACATATTGAAAATGGTTTGAGGTGCTATATTAAATCTTCCCTAGAAGTAGACTATGACGGCCAAATGTCCACCCTCCTTTCTTGCAGATGCTTAAGAAAGAAGAAGCAATTCCATGGCCAGGGACTTTAGCAATTGTTCATTCATATATTGCATACAAAACAGGTAAGTTAAGTAATCCTTGGTTTGATTTTTTTTTTTTGAAAAATGACCAGAATGTTTGTTCTATTCAGTTATTAAATAAAAATAATCAAATCAATAACCAAATGCTTGATAACCCTAGTAATCAAATTAGCAGGACAATTTGGGATTATCTTTTTAGTGAATCGGTCTGCAATATCAGGAATAATGCAGCATCACACTCACCACCATTTAATGCTTGTAGTCCAGTGTAAAAAACGATAAGAGTGCACATTTATATAGTACAAATAATAATCTCTCTTCCGCAGCAAAAGAAGAAGAAAAACAGAAATTACTAAAATGGAGTTCAGATTTAAAGCAGGAAAGAGAACAATTAGAACAGAAAGTCAAACAACTCAGCAATTCTATAACAGTAAGTATTAACCGTTGCCAGGTGGTCATTTATTTGTACTACCTTTCTTTTCACTAAGAACCATGAAAAGAGGGTTTATTCATTTTTATCCCATATCAATCTAGAGATGAAGAGTCCTTGATGCTCTCTGAGCAATAACCCAAACAAGGAACTGCCAAACAAGCTAACACTAAACAGCCCAACCAAAACCTCACCAAGACCACTCCTACCAATACTGACAGGACAAGTCACTAGAATAATAAATGACAGCAAACCCCCACTCCCTACTAGCATGGATGATGTTACCTAGTTCGGGTAATGAAATGTCTGCAAGAACACAAAACTTAGAGAACACCAAGGATCCCTCATTTCAAACCTGATCACATTTTGGGTGTTCGGTAACTCACATCTTTTAATTTGTTATTTTCTTTCAAACTCAGCCAAATTTATACATTTCAACAAACACGTTCATTATTTGTATACAATTCAGTTTCAAATTCTGTTTTACGTTTTTCAGTTTCAGTTTTTATCTATATTAAATCTCTTAATTGTGCAAGTGAAAACCATTGTATACTAAATGAAAGGGAAAATTCATGTAAGCTGCTTTCAGTTCCTGGAGAAGAGGCAAGATATGTATTTAGCTAACAAGAAGTTCATAGGCTCAAAGAAAATCATAGTCTGTATTATTTTAAAATATCTTGAAGTCCATTTCAAGAAAACACATTGGTTTCACATACAAGAACCTTGATTAGACTCTGGTTAAATTAATGGATTAGTTATGTACCATCAAGTCATTGTTGACTCCTAGCATTCACATAGATTTTCTTCATGACAGGCTGTACCTGATTTTTCAAGTCTTCCAATGGTCTGAAGCTAAAATGTTTAAATTCTGTGAGATGCCCAGGGTTCTGGTACAGGGGATAGGCAATTACAATGAGTTTGATGATAGATGATAGATAGATAGATAGATAGATAGATAGATAGATAGATAGATAGAT